TTATTCAAGCTTCTTTGCTTTTCCTGATGCATTTCAGGATCAGTTTTTTTCTGTTGGGATTTTGATTGGAATTGCCTACCAATTTAGATTGCTTTGAAGAGAGTTGTCACTTTCATATCAAATTTCCATCATCCTTGAACAGGTTATGTGTCTCCATTCTTTGTGTGTGTGTGTGTGTGTGTGTGTGTGTGTGTGTGTTGCTGGGGATGGAACCCAGGGCCTCACACGTGCCGGGCAAGTGCTTTACTACTGAGCTACATCCCAGCCCCTGTCTCTCCGTTTATTATAATTTTTTTAACCTTATTTATTTATTTATTTTTAAGTTGTAGTTGGACCCAATACCTCTATTTTATTTATTCATATGTGGTGCTGAGGATCGAACCCAGGACATTGCTGAGCCACAACCCCAGCCCTTTTTTTAACCTTTTTTGTAGTGTTACGTAATGCTCTCCATGAAGGCAGTGCACATATTCCAGTGCTTTATGTTTTTGTGGCTATAATGAATGATAACCTTTTTCTATTCTATTTTTAAATTGATTATCACTGGCATCTAAGAAAAGCTATTAATGTTTATTGTTTTTGTGTTCAGAACCTTGTTGACCTCAGTTATATTAGTACTCAAAATTTGTAAATTTTCTTAGGTTATTTATGCAGATAATAAATCAGCTCATATTTGTTATATTTAGCCTTTCAAAATACTACACGTCTCATTCTTTTTAGCCCTATTATACATTGACTTTGACCCCCGATACAATTTAAAATAGAATTGTTGATAGCAAGTATCCTTGCTTGCTCCTAACTTTATTGGGAAGATTTCTGTGGTGTCACCATTGTGTATGTTACTTATGTGAGATTGAAAATAATTTTTTATTTTTACTTCTTGGATGCATAATGGATATATTTGTAAACTCATTGTTTTGCAGATTGAAAGTCACAATGCATCAATTTAGTTTGTTATAATTTTCAGTTTTTAAAAAACAGAATAAAGCAAATAGTATTAGAATGCCTTACTTATAAAAAAAGTGGGTATTGTTTGTTAAATATCTTAATGTCTGTCTACTTGTTAATCTATATAAATATATGTGCATGCAGATGCATTTGTGTACTGGATTCTAATATAAAATATATTTCTTAAAGGGGCCATATTTTTAAAAGTTTGAAAAATTCCGTATTGTGTATCATGATTGTAAATTTTGTTCTTCTTATTTACTATAGCCTTACTATTTTTTTTTTTTGCCTGCTTGGTGTATCAGTTTCTGATGGAAATCTTTAAAATATCCTAGATTCTACTTATAGGTTTATCCATTTTCCCTGTAATTAACTCTGTATATTTTGTGTTGTATATTTTTAAACATATAAATTCATGTTTTTATCTCTTCTAAGTAGATTGGTGATGTCTTTCTCAGTTCTTAGTAACTTTTTGCATAAATTATCATCACCTCACTTTGCTCTATTTGGGTTAATATGTGAATGATAAGATCTTTTCTCTCTATTTTCAATCTTGTGTGGATTTATGCTATTTTCAATATGTTTCAATATGTATTCAGCAAGTAGCTGGATTCTTAAATTCATTCCAATATGTTAATCTTCATAATAGATACATTTAGTACATTTATTGTGATTTCTGATAAACTTTAATTTCTTTTTGTGTTTTCTCTCTACTGATATTTTCCTTGTGTTTCCCTCCTGATCTTTTGGCTTTTATTTTTAAAGTTGGAAAATTATTTTAAAGCGTATTTCCTCCCCATTGGTTGTTAATTTTTCTTTTAGTAGTTATAGTTTTAACATATACTTTTTGAATTAAAAGTATTCCAACAAACTTTTATTACATAGCAGTTCTATTTTTCTAAACAGAATTTTATCAAGCAGTCATTATTTAATTAAATCCACAAACATATTTAATTTTTTTTTACCATTATGTTGTCATATGTCTGTCCCCATTTTTGCTAGTTTCACATTTCTTTTTAATGAAGTACATCCTTTACTAAGTGTGTTGATATAACTCTGTCCATGGGGGATTCATTTTGTCTTTATGTTTCTGAAACTGCTTTTCCCTCTTACTCTTAAATAATAATTTGACTGAATATAAAATTCTACATTGATAGTTATATTCCCTTCTCATTTTAAAGATATTATTTTGTTATCTTCTGGCCAAAAATGCTACTTAAAATAAGCCCACCATCAGCTTAATGTTTCCTTCAGGTTTTTTTTTTGTTTGGTTGTTTTTTCCCTTTGTCTTTCCAGTAGCTTTTAGGAGTTTCTTCTAATTACCATGATGCTCTGCATTGGCCCTGTTTTGGGCTGGACTCTGTTTAGAGTGTCCTTTCCATCAGAGGACATGTGTCTTCTGCAACTGTGAAAATTCTCAGCTCTAATGTCTTCAAATATTACTTCCCCATCATTCCCTCCATTCTCTTTTATAATATCTACCAGCTGTATGTTGGAGCTTTTTGATGTGTCCTTCATGTCTGTTAACCACTCCACTGGAAAACTGGAACTTTGGACTAGGCTCTGAGTGTTTGTCTCACAACTGTTTACCGAGTTACTGTTATTCTCTTTGGGATTAATCTTGACTTTTGAGATTTAATTTTGGCAATTAGTTTTTCTTTAGTTCCAATATAAATTTATTTTTTTTCCTTATATCCATTTGGTTTTGTTTCATTTATGTCTGCTTTGTGTTTCATGATTTCTTAGTCACCATTAATGGATGTAATGCCTGAATTTGTGTCTGTGAACATTTTAGAAATACTTACATGTTCATGTGGATCATGTTTTCATTAATGATTTTGATGATTTTTATAGGCTGTCTTCTTTAATAAAAGATTTGTTCATTTGTTATGGCAGCTCTATTTTGAATGTGCACACACATGTGTGTGATGTTTTACCCTCATCCTGTTTGTCTAGTAGTTTTGGGAATTTTCGAGAGTCCCTGGTATAAGACCAGGTGGAATTTGCTTAGCAGTGAAACTGGGGCCTTGGCAGATCTAGGCACAGGACAGCAGGTGACTGGCTCAGTTCCTGGCCAGGAAGTTTTATCTACTGTCTGCTTTCCTGTAAATCTTGTAGTCTCAGGAAGCAAGTTGATAATTGCCTTATCTTAATAGATTTCTTTCTGTAGATGGGAGAGCTTCTCCCTGTACCTGGCTTCAAGCAGGGAAGAGCCTGGTTCTGATCTGCTATTGTGCACGAAGCACTTTTAGTTCTTATTACCTGGTCAGGAGCCAGAATTCAAACTGCCACTGCGTGCTTGGAGTCCTGGAACATGAGGCCGGTGGCTTCGAACCCACTTACTACTTTCTGATTCATTTCCAGGTCTGGTCAATAGAGATATTAATCATTTCCTCCCCCCCTCCCTCCTCTTCTATTTTATCAGCCATTACAGTGTATTTGGAGTGAAGCGAGTAGATCAAAGCATTCATTCATCTTGACTGGAAGTCTGCTTACCTTGCAAAGTTTTTCTTTTTTTTCTTTCTTTTATTTTTTTTGAGAACTCAGTTTCTGAAAGTTACCTGTTACAGGTTTATAGCTACCTACTTAAAGTAACAGTTCCTATTAAAATAATTTTACTTGTATTTATTACAGAAAAACATTCCAAAATATATAAAATTTTTATGCTAAAGTGAGAACAAGTCTCTTGTTTTTGTGAGGGTTTCTGGGCCCTTCAGAGAGCATGGCACCTCTCTCAGCAAAAACATCTTAATAACTCTTTGATTGCAGTGCAGAACTGGATGGAGAAAGTGCATGACCCATTAGTCAATGGAAGTTGGGCCATTACTGTGGCTTAGAGCTTGGGAATCCTGGGAAATTACTCAGTCCTGGCTCAAAGTCCCAGTTCCCCTGATTACACTTGTGTAACTCTGAGTTGAACAGCCTTTTAATCCTCATTTTCATCTTTAATATTATAGCAATAATAGAAACTGATAGTATTATTGGAGGATTTAATGACACAATGTGTCTTATGTGCTTATAAACACCACCTGGCACGTGGTAAGTACTCAATAAATGTTAGCCATCACTATCATTATGATTAAATCATGAGGATATGACATAGTTGGAAAGTTCCTATGAAGAAATAACAGCAAAATAAACTTACTCCTTTACAACATATCATGTGTCGTCAAAACAATGAAAACCACATCAATCTCTACCAAACAAACAATATATCAAACCACAGTAATGTGCTTTGGGAAAGAAATTTGATTGTATTGAGTTTTTCCACCCTAGTAATTTTAATCAAATTCACTCCAGCCTCTGATGGCCAAAATATCACCTTCAGATTTTCCATAACTGTGAATCGAAACTCTGGCCAGGAGAGAATGTTAAATTCCTACCATTCTTGCCTCCAAAAAGTTACCATCTCAGTATTATTCTACTCATTCATTTTTATCAGTGGTTTCTATTAATGAAGAAACAGTTGTTTCTTTCTTCTGAGTTTAAACATCCCCCTGTCCAAACCCCCCCCCCAAAAAAAAACTGAAGGATGATTTCAATCCAAGAAGAATAGCTCAACATTGAGATAATGTAATCCCTATAAATATTGTCCTATTAGGCAAGAGCTCAGTCGGAGACTTAAGTGGCCTAGTTAAACAATTAAAGCTAACCTGTTTGGTCTCCTGGGCTCATAAAACCCCAAACCTAGGGACTCAGTACAATCCCAGGGGACCCGGCTTAAAAGGCACCTTATTTAACTTGCTGTTAAAAATAGTGTGTTGAATTTTTGTGTGCTTTACTTGGCAGACACACTGACTGGGGGTGGGGTTGGTCTGGCCGCCTGGTTTAGCATCAGCAAGACACCTTTTGGTAACAGATGCAGGAAGAAGCGTGCTAAAATGAGGTATTGACGCATGTGTGAAAGCTGTCTCTTGGTCACAGAGTAATGAGACAACCATGGGGGAAGGGAGAGGTCAGGAGCAAGGGAGACAGAAAGGGTGGTATCGCCAGGGCTGGATTCACACCATATTTGGAACAAGTGTCAATGTTAGAACACGTGACGCCTCTTTCTTTGGAGCTGGACGGGAGCCTAGACAGGCTGAGGACCCATCCAGAGGATTTTAGGTTCACCTTGAACACCAGCCAGTGTGATTGCCAGTTCACTATTCCTTGGGCCTTCAAGGTGAAATGAAGGGTAGGTGTGCTCACATGAGAAGACTGAATAGCTGTGCTCTAAAGTTTACAGAGACTTGTGCCAAACACTGTGGTAAGTAAGGGACTGGGGAATTATCAGTTTCCTGGGTTTGGTATTGCCAAGGAAGAACATTAAGAGAAAACTGAGGAGAGAGCCAAGGACAGAATCTTGGAGGATCAGGAGAGTGCTATTAGTTGTAAATGTGCAAACTGAATCATTTTATGGTATTCCTGTAACAGTTGGTATTCCTATGCCTCTGCTTGGATGCTTTCTTGTAGTTGGATTCCCTTCTTCATTTCTGAAAGTCTAAATTCTTCTAGAAACTCAAAAGGTAGTAAGCTATCTTAACATCAGATCTGCTCCTGCTTATTGGAACTGAGCACTCCCTACTTCTTGTTATAGTTTTCACACACTCCTAACAGACCGTCTGTCTATCTATCTATGGTCCAGCTCCCTTGTGAGCTTCCCAAAGATGGTGACAAGAAGATAACACAGCCCATTAGAGTGAGCAGGTGTATAGCTTTATAAGCTGACTGTCCTTGGTTTGAACTTAACTTTGCCATTTGCTAATTGTGTAGCCATTGGCAAGTTCCTCAACTTAGCTGAGCAAAGTTATTTTGAGAATTAAATAAATTAACCTACATTTGTATGTGCTCTGTTCTAGAGCACACCATGGATGCTCCAGAGAAATCAAATGCTGTTTTCTTCTCTGCTTTCCCCAACCTAGTCCATGATGGTCCTAGTGTATAAAGAACTTGTCTTCTTCAGTACACCAGTCAGGATTCTTTCAGTGACAGGAACCCAGCAAAAAACAAAACAAAACAAAACAAAATTCTCATGTAATTGCAAAAGCAAGGCCAGGTTTGATCCAGGGCTCAAATGATGTGCTCAGATTCCAGTTTTCCTCTTTTCATTACTGGGCTCTGATTCTTCCGTGATTATTCAATTCCCAGGGCTCCATCTCTCCCCAGCTGCTCCAACCGAAGTCTCACAATTTCATCCAGTTAGTTTTCATTGGCCTGGCTTAGATCACATGCTCATCCCTGAACCAATCACTGCAACCTGGGAGAAGAGATGCCCTGAGTGGCTAACCAGCTGGGGCAGGGGTGGCTGGGAGGCTGGAGGCAGGGATTGAGGGTGGGGTGATGTCCCATAATTCCTCTGAGCTGAAGGTGGGAAAGCCCCACCCAACCCACCTGTACCAAGACTGGTGCCATGAGGAGGTGACTCCTCAGGGGACATACGGGGCCTGTGAGCAGGTGACAGGCAGGTAAAAAGAACAGGTATCAGTCATCTATGTACAGGACCACAGTGAAGCAGGATACACTGAGGGAAGGTACCTCTTTTACTTTGTGGAATTTCTAAACTATGTGGGGACAGGTGGATCCCGCTCTACCTCAGTGGTTTAGGGCTTCCTAATTACTTTCCCAGGGCTATGGAATTTTTTTGTTTTTGTTGTTTTGGAACGGGGGTACCTGAGAAGCTAAGTGAGGTAATAATGGTGTTTCCCCCAATGTCCCTGAAGGAGAGAGGTGGCATGTTTGATGGTACTGGACAAAAAGACTATGGGCAAGGTTAGTCAGGGGGCAGTGGAGCTGCCTGGTACAGTGAGGAGGAGGAGGGGGGGCATTTCCAGAGGCTAGTGAGGCCTGGGTTGGTGGAAGAGGGGCAGATGGACAGAGCTGTGGCCTAGGAGAAGGAGCACAGCCATTGCCTGGCCCACAGCAAGGCGGGGAAGGAACAGCAGAATAAACAGGCCAGCTGCTCTGGACTCCCATCATCTCGCTGTGGTGCTTCCCATTGGCCAAACTCACCAGGGAGCCCAGGTGATGGCGTCTGTCCGCAGAGCAAGGCCAAGAAGGGCAGAGAATGGAGACGAGTGGCAAGATTTGTTGTCTGGGAGGAAAGTGCGGCACATTAGACACTTGGCTCATGATCAGCGGAGCTGGGGAAGGGGGGGTTTAGTCAGCGTCTGGCTAAATTCTGATTTATTCCCTCTGCTTTTGGAAATGTAATAATCTCTCCATCAAAGCTCCATCTATCTGCCAAAATAATGCATGTCCTTTTGTACAAATGAAAGAATTACTGCTATTATGCAAACACTGAAAGAGTACCACATTTGCATGCAGAGGATAAAAAAAAAGGAAAAATCCTATTTGCAATAAAATTAATTATACCAATGTGGCAAAGAGACACATGAGTATCCATTTAACACTTGGACAGGAGCAGAACTAAGTTTCCTTGCCAACCATGATGAAATAAGGGAGCCAAAAAGAAAATACTCTGAAAATAGAGGCCTGGATAATATAAACAGGAATTGGGAATTTCTGGCCATTTGAAGACTCCCTCCTCAACAGAAACAAAAGATGGAAATAAAGGTTTTTACAAATACTAACCATGAATATTAATGCTCTATAGCTGAGGCCTGAACCAAGTTCCTCATTAAAATGGCCTTTTGGCAGAGAGGTGTCAGCATGCAGGATCTGGAAGTGGCATGAGGCTGTGTTGGGGACAGGCTTTGCATCTGAAACCAGAGGGAAGGTAGACGCATTGGCTGCAGAATGTGTGAGGGGCTGGTTACATTATTGTGTTCTATCGTCAGGAAATGGGAACCTTGAAAAGAAGGCAAAGGAATCACTTGCTCTGGAGAATAGAAAGTTGAAGTGTCACCAAAGGGATATTCGTTTGGAAATTGCTGTCCTGTACCCCAGGTTCCTCGTGTGCTATGGGCACTATTGGTTTGCCTGTCTGTCCAGGGAGTGGGGCCCCTGTCTTCAGAAGTCTAATGCTGCTTGTACCTCCCATGCTTAGCACAGAATAGACAAAACCAAGTAATGTTGAATTGACAAGTGAAATGCAGAACTCGAGAGTGGGGTGGGAAAGAGGTGGAGTTTAGCACACCTGGCTAAATTTGGAAATCGCCTGTTTTAAGTTTTGCAAGAATAGTGTATTTGGGAGGGGAGATTGGGTAGTAGTGAGGATAAGGAAGGTGAGATATATCTGGGAGGGACTTTTGAAACTCACATTCCCTAGAGACATCTGCCATTCCAGCCCCCATGGGTCACATGGGACATCAGGACCCAGTGGGAGGGAATACTCCATTAGGAGGCTTCCTCCCCAGCCAAGCAGAGAGCACTTGCCCAGTGCCCATCCACCCTGCTGCCCTCCCACCTTTCCTGCTTCCAGGGCTCCTCTCAGCACCTGCTGCTGGACAGGGGCCTCCAGTGGTTGCTGAGTGGGCTAATATTTTGAGGGACTTCAGAGGAGTAGTGATAGCATGCCCCAGGCCACACACAGGCAGTCTGTGAAGGACCATCACAGGGGAAATGTTGACCAGCTTCTCACCCCAAAGTCTGGGTGAGAGGCGAAAGCCCTCATTTGTGGAAGAAGATGCAGGTCAGGACTTTCTGGAAGGGGATATCATTAGTGGGACCAGCCTTTGGAGCAAGTGTAGAATCCCCTGGCACTATCCTCCACTAAAGAACTAAAATGTGATGGACACTTCTCTTCCTGGGGTGATTCAAACCAGACACAACTTTTGAGGAGACAAAAAAAAATGAACTTGAACCAGGAGCTTTCCAATACCAATCACGACATGACTCTGTAGCCTTCCTTGGGAATTACCTTGCTACCATCAAATGCAGTGGAGACGATGACTCTTCATTCTCATCCCCGGCTCTGTAGAAAAAACGGTTGTAAGTTGAGTCTATTATCTAATGATATGAGTAGTTTTGATGGTATAGCATATCCGTGAAAGCATGGATTTTTGTGAGTATAAAATGCTACTGGATTGTGTGCTTCAAGATGGCTAAGAGGATGAAATTTGTTAGTGAATTTGTTACACATGTGCCGTGTACACACACACACACACACACACCCAGTAAGGTGGTTGGATTCTAGAGCCAGATTGCTTGAATTTGAATATGGGTTCTGTCTCCTACCAGCTGTGTGACTTTGGGCAAGGCACCTAACCTTCCTGAATTTCTTCATTTGTAAAATGGGATCATAATAACAATCGCTTCATTATTGTGGTTGTTGTAAGGTTAAATGAGTACTGTATGCAAAAACTCTTAGAACAGTGACATTCAGTAAGTGCCGGCCAGGCAGAGCTCTCATTAGTATTGTTATTATGAATGACATACCCCATGGGGAGGTGTGGCTGGGGTCAAGTTTTATTGCTTATCTAGGAGGCTGTGCATTATTTAATGGATGAAGACAACTTCAATTGTCTTAGTTGTAAGATACCGAGTCAGATGGAGTCTCATGGAAGAGGAGAGTTTGTTTTCCTAGGCACGGTGCTAATAGAAATTATTTATTTACATTCATTTTTATATTTCTTCAATCACAGAATCTTAAGCCCTGGAAAAGGGCCCACATTTCACCTCAGCATGGGTCAAGAAAGAACTGACTTGCCCAAGGTTTCACGATTAGCTGTGGCTTGGTCTTGGAATTGCTAGAGCAGAGCTCTTTCTGCCCATTGCCATAGTTACAATAGCTCAGTCCATGGAAATGCGTTTTGTTTTCACATCTGTAATATTGAAAGTGAAATACACACGGATGCACAGGGATCAAGGAGTGGACAGTACTTCCATTTTTTAAGGAGCTAGAGGCATTTAATTGGAATGTGCCATATCTTCTGTTCTGAAGGGAGGTGGCAAGGCTATATCAACACAACAGAGTTCCTACTTACAAGGAATGGAAACAAGCTCTGGCTAACTAGCCAGTCACTCCAAGTATATTGGAGTGAGATATCAGGTAGCTTGAAAATTGAAGGAAGCTGGAAAACCAGGCTTGGAACACAACCAGAACAGGAGATGGAGCTTTGGCCCACCCAGGATCAGTGTGGTGAAGATGCAGCCAGGTTTGGCTGTCTCTGGACATGCAATGCATTATTAGCCTCAGACTTTGCAAGCTGTCGCTGCCAATGGACTATGACCCTTGGTGGCTCAGCTGCCCCGAGTGCTCCTTTACGTGGACTTCTCTGGGTCTTTCTTGTGGTTCAGGGGCCCAAAAGGAGTACCCCATTAGCTTAGCTGGGTCAGATGTCTGAGATCCAGTACTGGATGGCGGTT